GAACCGGGCCTGAAGATCGCAGTTGCTAGGGTTTAACTCACTTACCGCCTGCGATAAGATGCCCTTTATCGTGCATGGAATCCAGGGTCGACACATCACAGTATGGCATATACTCCTTGATAGGAAACTCGCCGCTATCATATGCGCCCACGCTTCCATAGCATGAATCCCCTGGAGGTGTACATTCTCTCATCGCGTCTATACCGAAGACGTACAAACTGATTTTCCTGTCTGACTTCAATGAGGGGGGAGGACAGACCGCGATATTGGACAGGGGGTGCTTGGTCAGTGCAGAACAGGAAACTGAAACAACCTCGGACTTCTAATGATGAAGACCTGCTCAGAACAGTCTTCTTTGACACTCCCGACCGCAAAATCTCACGTGCACTTGTTCATGTCACATAAAACTGTTGGGGTATGGGTTTGTAAGGAAGCGGGGACGTTGTAGCCTACTTGTGTTGAAAACCGTGCTAGACAAACCAACACCTAACCGCTTCGAGTATGAAGTTGTAAATACAACCCACAGCAAGACCTCCGACGAAGACTGCACTGATAAAGTTGAGCCCTGCAGTACAGTACGGCGCCGGATGTCGACTAAACGTCTGTCTGAAACACAGCAATTTCCCGTGGGGGGGAAGTGGATATGCTCAGAACACCTGGAACACATTGTAGTACACTATTTTCAACACTGTTTCTGCAGTCAATGCCCTTGCGTGGGGATAATGCTGCAGAAAACGAGCGCCTGCCCTTCTGGAAGAGCCAACTTGGTGGCTGCGTCCGGTCTGTTTGCAACTCCCCTTGTGCATGAATTACCCGCGCCTGATGCCACTTCTCATTATGGGTTGGAACAGAAATCCGAAACGCCAAGTGAATAGTGTTAGTATTCTGGTGAGCGCGTCTACTTCTTTCCAATTACTCCCTGAAACTCGCCTTTTCGTTTTCACCAACAAATCCGCAAACCATCACCGGGAAGATCTTCCTTCCGCATACCGATGGAAAACTGTAGGCTTGCACTAAGGATTTACTGCAGAGGTCCAGTGCACAGTCCAGGAACACCGTGGAACGGTTGATATTATATTCACAACACGACAACTCAGAAAATCAGAACCAGCATTTAAAACAAGGCCTTCGCGAGTACGGTTTTCGAGTGTCCTCGAGGACTGGAGGCCCGTCCCACGAAAGTCGCCCCTTTGTCCGAGTACACATCCTTACCTTCTTGATCTGACTCTGATAGTAATCGTAATTATTCAGAAATGAGCACAAGAAGTAATAGTTGCATGCATTATGCGCATTTTCTCCGTAGCATATATTCGGACTTTTAAGGGCACTGACAATCAACGTGAAACACATCATACTACAGAGAACTTTTTTTTCAATCGGTCAGAAGGAAGCTCGTTCAAAAGCTAGCATTCTGGAGTAACTGAAATGTCCTGAATCTATGCTGTACGGTAAATAATCTTACAAAGTTACTTTAGTAATCTTTAAAAACCGAAAATTTCATGAGAGAGCACATCTATTGTTAGGGGGTCAACTGAATGAAACAAATCTGCCAACCCCCCCCCCCCTAACAATTAAGTGAGCCTAGTCATTCTGGTGGATTCCAGATGATTGCTTAGGAAATCCTGCCTGGTAAGTCAGCTTGCTCTTCCGTAATGCTGGATTCCATACGAGCGGTAAGTTTGGCGGGTAAAATCGATGCAATTTTGATTAAATTCATGGCGTACAGTGAGCTCAATGGTAGAGCGTTGGCTGCGCAGAAGCCTTCCCTGCTGTGTTGCTTCGACTCCCACCGAGGCCGCGAATTTTTCACAATTGAGTCAACTGAAAAGCACATCTACTCCAAATCTGTCATAACGAGCTAACAATCGTGCTTTGGAAGGCTGCCAACTGACGAAATAACTTCGTTTTACTAGGCACCGAGAGATGGGTCTGCAGTGGTGCCCTCTCGTGGTGGTTTTGCTGGCAACCTCACTTGTGTGCGATCGCTGACTCTCTTTCTCTCTCTCACAGCGGCCCCGTGTACGTGTTAATTTGGAAGCCGGAGTGGAGAAAGTAAGCGAACACAACTAGCCAAGCGTGGCTATACACTGCATCGACGAAAATATTTATATTGTGATTTTCTACTGTGTTTGCCCTCGGAACATGTTGGGCAGATGCGGCGTAAACTTGCCTCGTTGATAATAAAAAGTTCACACGGAATTTACAGCTGTGAGTTCTTCAGGATAGCTTCAGGCTTCCTTGTCTGCGCTGGACTAAGTAGTACAGACCGCCCTCTTCAGATTCCCGACAGCCGCCTAGTTGACCGTCACACGTGACGACTTTCATCGGCTGTCCTACAGAGGAGGGCGTGGCAGCGGTTAATTAGGTGTGAACTAGTGAGGCAGACTTGCGTAACACCTATCTCGCTCACTCTTCATTCATCTACCTTGCTCCGAAGACAAAAAAAGTTTGGGTCAACCGGAGGCGGGGTGGACACCATGCTCAACAGCTTGGTCACGACTGGTATGTACGGCTTGATCTCAATCCCATGCAGAGGGCTTCTGTATTGGTGGTTCGGATCTTACTCGAGTGCAAGTGCCATGAAGGCTCCATAAAGAAGGACCCACTACTACCTGACTCTCAGATCTCCAGCATCAGTTGGTCCCTTTTCAAGGTACAACTCTTAGCGCTTCCGTTCTATTAACCTGATTTGCAATGGGATGGATTCTCCCCTGTCGATCCCCTCATGCGCCCATCGACTGTCCGAGACTCTCAACCAACTGGCGATGAGGTAGATTTCCTGACACCTATGTGACAAGTCTGGAGGACAGCACCTCCGCATACTTCCTAAAATTAAATAAAACCAGTTTCTTCACGTTTGTTGCCACCCCAACAGGCGTTTTAAAAGTCACTTTTTGGCCCGTAATGTAATAAAAACATGCATCAACGGATGATCGAGATTATTGATTAAAATTCACTACGCATTACTAATTATTACCGTCCGACTCTCAAGGCTAGCTCAAATAAATACGCATTTTGGACCCCATATTCTGGCCATCAATATATATCGTATTTTCCGGACTATAAGGCCTTTACTTTTCTCCAAACACGTCAGTGCGCCTTATAACGCGGACTTTTTCATATTTAAGCACACCGGACTAGAAGGCGCATGAAGGGAGACGAAACAATCACTCTGGCTTATAAGGCACCCTGTCGTTTTTTTGAGAAAATTAAAGAATTTTAAGTGAGCCTTACAGTCCGGAAAATATGCTACTAGATCCTAAATGCGTTCGAGATTTACCGTTCATGTGCAGTTATAGCCCAACGAATGCTCATACCACCGTACTGACTAAGACAATCGATAGGTGGGCGTGTATTACGGGAATGGTGACAATGAAGGGGGTAGGACTGTTTGAAGAACGGAAAAGGGCGGTAACACGTTGACAAGGAAAAGACATTTATATGCCCACCGTCATTGTTTCAGTGAGCTGGTTTTTAGCACTAAATTCGACCATATTATACGCCTATCTGTCCACACCAACCTAACCCCTATCCGTTAGGTTTAGCATTCCTTACCGAGTTAGTAGGGTCGCACCGGCATTTGCTGTCGAAATTATGCTCTTAAGAGTCCGCAGAATCTTTTTTTCCTCGAAGGTAACTTGTGTGCTTTCCTTCTTCCTATCACATAATGTGACTAAGTTATTTATTCGCAGACTATCCGGACGCAGCATATCTGTAGTGGGTCATTTACGCTACTTAGTCAGACATTTCCAAACCACGGGTATGGTATACCTGGTGTCTGTAACTCGGACCCGGGTCTAAGCTCTAGTGATAAACTGCTCCCAATGAGTGATAACGTGCTGTTACGCGAAAAATAACCTCGCTGGTATCCTCTGCTCCGAGCCGAAACGGAATTCTAGCCACCCACCCTACAACAATGCATACTAAGCCGTCGCAACGGTGAAG